TTTCCTTTCGGCACACTCGGCCTTAATTGATTGTTCGTCTGGTACCCTCAGCCTTGATCTACCAATCTTTGCCGACTACTCTGCAAAGCCCACCAGCCGCTTGAGCCCAACCACTTTCGTTCGCCTGCCACCTCGAGCCGTCACGTACGTGTCTTTGTCATCGACCCCTCCCGTTCCTGACGGTGATTATATCGTTACGCCAATTACTGACGTTCGGCTGACGCGCAGTGTTACTGTGCCCTATACCATCGCGACAATAGCGGATAACTGTGTGTTACTTCCGCTCCTTAACTTTGGTTTCACCCCTCAAGTGTTGCCCTGCCAGATGTCTCTAGCCCAGCTAACTGCCATAACAGAGGACGATGTCAGTGTTGTCGCTGTATCTGCTCCTGATCGAAGCGCAGTCTCACGGTCACCCAGCTCAGACGATGGTATGTTTCGAAACATGATTGGATCGGAGCTGTCGCCTCACCAGGCCGACGCTCTCTGCCAAGTTTTGGCCTCATACAGTGACATTTTTGACACCGACGATCGTCCCTTGGGCCAGACTAAAATTGTCACTCACCGAATCAACACTGGTGACTCTGCGCCCATTCACTGTCGGCCGTACCGCGTGTCAGCATCTGAGCGAGAAGTGATTCAGAAAGAAGTGGCCAAAATGCTTACGAAAAACGTAATCGAACCATCAACGAGCCCTTGGGCATCTCCCGTGGTATTAGTAAAAAAGAAAGACGGCTCATGGCGTTTCTGCGTTGAATATCGCCACCTCAACAAAATTACCAAAAAAGACGTGTACCCTCTACCACGCATTGACGATGCCCTTGATTGCCTCCATGGCGCCACCTTCTTTTCATCTCTCGACCACCGATCTGGCTACTGGCAAATTGCCGTAGATGACATGGACCGAGAAAAGACCGCCTTCGTTACCCCTGACGGCCTTTACCAATTCAAGGTCATGCCGTTCGGGCTCTGCAACGCTCCAGCGACCTTCGAGAGAATGATGGACACGCTCCTACAAGGCTTTAAATGGTCGACATGTTTGTGTTACCTGGACGACGTGATCATTTTCTCACCTACCTTTGCAACCCACCTTGAACGCCTTTCGACGTTTCTATCCATATTTCGACGGGCCGGCCTGCAGCTCAATTCCTCCAAGTGCCACTTCGGTCTTCGTCAGATTACCGTATTGGGTCACCTTGTTGACGCTGCCGGCGTACGGCCAGACCCGGCGAAAGTACGCGCTGTAACAAACTTCCCAGTCCCACGCTCTGTCCATGATGTTCGCAGTTTTGTGGGCCTCTGCTCCTACTTTCGCCGGTTCGTGAAAAACTTTGCGGCACTCGCACGGCCACTCACCGACCTTCTCAAACAAGACGTGCCATTTTCTTGGGGCCCTCCTCAAGCTGACGCCTTCTCTCAGCTAATCACCGCTCTAACGACACCTCCTATTCTTGCACATTTCGACCCCGATGCTCCCACAGAAGTGCGAACAGACGCGAGTGGTCACGGAATTGGTGCAGTTTTGGCGCAAACTCAGCGGGGCAACGACCGTGTAATCGCGTACGCGAGCCGTCTGCTTTCTAAGTCTGAACGCAATTATTCTATAACAGAACGGGAATGTCTCGCTCTTGTTTGGGCGGTTTCGAAATTCCGTCCTTACTTGTATGGCCGCCCTTTCCGTGTCATCACAGATCACCACGCGCTGTGTTGGCTTTCTTCTCTGAAGGACCCCACTGGACGACTTGGTCGTTGGGCATTACGCATACAGGAGTATTCCTACTCGGTTGCGTATAAGTCTGGACGTCTCCATCTGGACACCGATTGCTTATCCCGCTACCCTGTTGATCAGCCCGACGAACCAGACATCGAGCCTAGCCTCAGCGTCATGTCAATGTCCCAGTTTCTTCAGATTGGTGATGAACAACGTCGTGATGTTTCTCTGCGGCAACTTATTGACCGTCTCGAATCTGCTCCGAACGACACGTCACTTCGCATGTACGTCCTCCTGAATGGCACGCTGTACCGTCGTAGCCTCCAGCCAGATGGCCCTGAGCTCCTTCTTGTCGTGCCGAAAAATTTGCGTTCAACCGTGCTGCACGAGCTTCACGATGAACCAACTGCTGGTCATCTGGGTGTATCTCGGACGTACGACCGCGTGCGTCGCCGCTTCTTTTGGCGCGGTCTCGTCCGGTTCGTTCGCCGTTACGTGTCCTCCTGCGATAAATGCCAACGTAGGAATCGACCTACTGTGCCCCCGGCTGGACTTCTTCAACCGATCTCCATCCCAACCGAACCTTTCTTCCGTGTTGGTATAGATCTTCTCGGTCCTTTTCCCGAGTCGAAATCGGGCAACAAGTGGGTCGCTGTTGCTATAGACTACGCGACTAGGTATGCTATCACTCGAGCGCTCCCCACTAGCACCGCTACTGACGTTGCGGACTTTTTGCTCCCCGACGTCATCCTACAGCATGGCGCTCCTCGCCAATTACTCACAGATCGTGGCCGCGCATTTTTGTCCCGTGTGATCGACGATCTTCTGCGCTCTTCCTCGACGCACCACAAGCTGACCACTTCCTACCATCCCCAAACAAATGGCCTTACCGAATGGCTAAATCGGACCCTAACGGACATGCTCGCGATGTATGTGTCCTCCGACCACCATGATTGGGACCTGGCGCTACCTCACGTGACCTTCGCGTACAATTCTTCGCGCCACGACACCACTGGTTATTCACCCTTTTATTTGCTTTATGGCCGTGATCCAACGTTACCACTCGACACCTTACTTCCAACCACTACAACGTCGTCAACCGAATATGCACGCGACGCTATTGCTCGTCTCGACCACGCACGTCAGATCGCCCGCTCTAGACTTTCGGCTTCGCAAGCCACCCAGAAAGCCATCTACAACAGCCGGCATGCTGACGTTCACTTCTCACCCGGTTCTCTTGTTCTCCTGTGGTGCCCAGTTTGTCGAGTTGGCTTATCAGAGAAGTTATTGTCTCGCTACATGGGTCCTTACCGTATCATCCGCCAGGTAACCGACGTCACTTATGAGATCATTCCTGCATCTGAGACCACAAGCCTGCCTGCAACCACACCCAGTGATGTTGTGCTCGTCAGCAGGCTAAAACCTTACCACCTGCCTACTGAAGACCGTAGTTAATTTGCACCGAGACGGCGCTTTTACCGCCGGAGGGGTAATGCTACGTAGCTGACGTATCAGCGTTGAAAAGACGACAACGAGGAAGTGGTCTGTCGGTTGCGCGTGCTGCTTCCATCTTAGTCGACGCCATACGCATCAGTTTGAATATAGATTTTAGACACACCTCGTGTCATTTTTACGTAACAATATTTTTTTCTAGGTACAAGATCGCTTAATAAAAACCTCCATTTTTAATATTATCTGCTGTTTGGCGTGCGAAAACCACCATGTGATTTCGATGCATGATATAGTGGAGGGCTCTGCAAACTTCGGCTATCTAGGTTTATTTAACGTTCACTGTCACAGCCTCATCCTTTACTACTTATACAGTACCTACATTAATGTTACGCGGCTATGATTGCAACGCGAAGGTTGGCTTCTCACCGAGTCCAGGAAGAAAAAAAAATAGTTGTTTCGGTTTACGATTGTAATGGGAGGGGTAACATTAGGCATAAAAGTTCTGTGAGAAAAAAAAAAAACTCATGTTACATTCGAGCAAACACAGCATTTTCTTTCTCCGCCGCCACCACATGACAATATCATAAATGCAAGTGCAACATTAGCAATATATTTGCATGGTTTGTAGAACTATGGAATGCAAGAGTACGCAATAGGTGACACAATTAAATTTCAAAATATTTGCATCTAAGTAGGTTTGCCTAATCAACACGTAACCGTCGGGCGAATAAAGATTACTTGACTCAACGCTAACCTGGAGACAGGCATCGTTCGCACAACAAACACGACCGCATTTTACACGCCGTCACCGTCGTGATACGAATTTTTTCTAGCTGGTAAAACATTAGCTGATCTTACTGTGGCGTGCCCTAAGCAGAGCACGCAAGCGCGATACGGAACGTCTTTCATTCTAACCGAAGTTGTTGAGTCTATTCCGCACCACGCCGGTAAATTTACTTGCTCGTCTTTTTCTCTCTTTTTTTTTTCAGTCTAGAGCGACAGAATTGCGGCGACACTTGTAGGTACAGTAAACACGCTAGCGCCTCACAGATGCATGAACCGCGTAGTACGTTCAACGTATTCACCGCCGCGTTTTTCTCCCGCGTGTTTCTAAAGGTCCGCATTTGAACGAGATGCTCTCCATTTCCACCAACGGCTCTCGGCACCGCATTTTCGTCCCTCTTCTCTTTCTCTGGCAGCTTTACCGCTGCACTGCCACTCGCAACAGGTGGGCGACTGCATTCACGGAAGCTAGAGAAAGGAGCCGCTTTCTCGTTTACTTCCCCCGATCAGTAAAGGGAACGCCCGATCGACAAGCACCGCTCCGATGCGGAGTTGCAAGCACCGCTTGAGCCTCCACATCCGTTCCAGCAGGCGCTGCTCCGCCATCCGCAGAGGCCGACACAATGACACAATGATCCTCCTCTTCTTTCAATGTCTCTTTTTTTTTTTTTTTTTTTCTTCGCGTAGAGCGTGACGGTGGAGGGAGTAGCAAGGCCGTGCGAGACACTGTGAAAGCTCCCCGGAGGATGGAGATGGGAGCGCTCCGCTTCTCTTCCTCTCTCATCACCTCTCCACACCACGCGGGCGAGACAGCTTCGCTTCTTCCCGCCAGATGGCAGCAGGTCGTTCAGTCGCGCCTCAATGTGTTTGTGTGTACGCGCGCAAGTCCCAACGCAGGGCTAGCGGGGCTTCCCTTCCGTTTCGTTGTTTTTTCCCCTCCGCAACACACCGCCACCTGTTCGGGGCCCCCGCGCGGCCCTCAGAAGAGCCAACCAGCAACGGCGGCCCTGCGCGCGGCGTGGTTTCCCCCTCGACCCGACCCGGCGGCGCACCTCCCGTTCATACCTGGGCCGGCTGTGATCCCGGATTGCGCGGCGCTCAGTGCAGTAGCTTGTCGGCCCGTCTCCGCGCGCGCCACACCGCAGCGGCCGTACTTCTTTCATCGTTGGTGCTCGCCAGTTATTGTGACCGGCGCTTTTGTTTTGTCAACTGCTGCACTTGGGAAAGTTCTCTGACCGTGTCTCATGCCATTATTTTGTGCCTCTCTTTTCTTTCTTTCACTGATAACGCTGCGCCTCCTGGAAGTGTCCGAGTGAATTGGTCACCTCAGCGCAGTTTCGAGGCGGGCCCTAGTGTTATACATTTCTTTGGTGGTGTGTGTGTGTGCGTGTTGTGTGTTTTTTTATATTCTATTTTTTCTGTGCGCGTGGTGTGCAACGGGAGCTGCAAACAGGATGGATGCATCGTGATCTGTGCTGGTGACCGCTCTTCTTCGTTCGACCTGCAATCTTCGCAACCCGGCACCGCTACTTCTTGGATTACGCGTGTGTCGCCCAATCTGTGTACAGGCCGGCGTCGCCTCTTGCGCCGGGGGACTCGAGGTCGTCCCGTTGTCCTCGCCATCTGCGCCATCCCCACTCGTCAACTTCTCTCAATTCCCGGACGCAGTTGTGAACGGCTGCTGCTTTATTTTCCTCGTGTTTTCGCACCCGTTGACGGCGCCTGCGGCAGAGTCCTCCTCCTCCTCTAGAAGGTAAGTGAGGAAAGTGAAAACGCATTTTGGCGAAGCACGCACGGCGAGGCACTCGTAACTCAGTGGGGCCGCGCCGCTTAAATTTTCCGGGGCCCCTAATAGCAGCCGCTAAAGGCTCCTCGCTTCATTCGCCGATCTAACGCGCTCTAGGTAACGCGAATTCCTTGCCGGATGAAAAGTGTGGCGGGGAGGATCGTGGCTCTACAGCGCGATTCTTCGGCAGGCTAATCACATGGCGAGCGGCTATCGCCTGCCTAGCTCAGTCTAGAAACTTGATTCCTGGGCAGGAGCTTGAATTCTTGCTAGTTCCGACAAGCCGAGCCTGACAGCGGTGGTATATGCATGGACAGGTATCTAGCGTGTAGGCAAGCTGCAGGTATAACATGCCCGGACAGTGTATAAATATGACATATTATCTCTTGTACGTGCTTGCAAATGCGGGTACGTGTCAGGTGAAGACAAAAAACAAGTAAAAGTGGCAAAATCCAGTCTCATATTAGGCGATGATTATGCCAGTAGTGGGGAAATCTTCACGAACATTAAATTACTGCGCCGTAATGCTCCAAAATAGTCACTTGTTTTCTGTAAATTTCGCCATGAGATGACTTTGGAACAGAAAGTATTGTTGAAAGTATACGCATTGTGGTCGGATATTACGTGATGGTCGCCATCTTGTACACTGTCGTTCTTTATGAAAGGGGACACGCGATCGTGTGACCTGCTCTCTACAACCGCTGCCTACAGTATCTTGCAGCGCTTGTCCAGTGGCCATAACTCGTTGTTTTATTTGCCAATAAATGACGCCAAAAGCCAACGCCTTTTCTTTTGCTGTCGTTGATGATGGTCTTGTAGGCAGCCGCCGCAGAGAGCACAGGCCACGCGCTCACGTGTTCCCTTTCATAACGGACGACGGTGTACACTTGTGCTGCTGCATTTACGTAAAGTTGTGCCGCTGCAACACAGAATCGGCCGGCCAGTTATTCCGACTTTGCGCAAATGCTGCACTGCCCTTTCTGGTCATCTTTGGCAAAGAACGAAGGTGATATGGTGACCACTGGGAGTGCGCGCGTCAGAATGACATCGCTGATAACAAGCCTACGCGTGTGAGGCGTAGAACTGCTTTAAGCCTATATCACTATTTCAAAAGCCGGTGACTACCGGAGCGCTCAGCGGCGCCGATCGCTGGCGCTTCGATCGTTGTACACAACGGGACCGTGTTCGACATGCACCGCTTTGCAGAAACGGACGCAGCTCGCTATTGCAGAGTTGAGTATTGTGGATGGCGGTATCGAGACAGCAAGCGCGTATAGCGCTGTTATAATCATACTGCACGCGTTCATAACGCGACAACCCAAACGGGCCTCCACCCGCTGCCAGCACTGCAAGATCCTCGCTTACAGAAAGCTCGCATTATCGCGTTCGCGCAATAGGCGCTCGCATCTGAAACTGAGTGGGCGCAAGCGGCTCGGCATGAAATGTACGCCAAGTAGGCGAAACGCTGCACGCAACTAGCCAGTAGACCATCGGCTCCCTGCGAACGTACCGTGTCTCAAAAAATGTGTGTTTATTTTCGCTTACTAGCAGATCGCGGTACACATTCACCGCGGACTTCCGCTTATGTCCGTTTCGTTGCTATAGTTTCAAGATTGCAATTGTACCAGAAAGCGTTGTACACCCAAAAAAAACTTTCAGTGACATCTGTACCGGGTAACGCGTCATCTCCTGGGCGATCCGAGCTGTTGCTGCGCAGGAGGGAAGCGGGGAAGGCTATATTTTCGATCGGCATCGGTGCATTTGCATTTAAAATTGTCCCATGCGTGCATAATTTTGTTAACTGCTGACAACACGTATCGTATGTGTTAGCAAAATGCTATAGTCTACGGGAAGCAGTTTCCTTCCGAACTATAAGTATACTACCAATAATTAACAATACAGTTGCGACACCGCAATTATTCCATCACTGAGTGGGAATGTCTGGCGCTTGTATACATAGGCAGTGTGTAAATTCCGTCCCTATTTATATGGCCAGCGTTTCGTCGTTACCACAGACCACCACGCTCTGTGCAGCAGCTCTCAGAGCTCAAGGATCCAACAGGGCGCCTGGCTCGTTGGGCTCTGCGTATGCAGAAATTCACGTACACTGTGGTCTATAAGACGGATCGTCGGCACGAGGACGCCGACTGCCTCGCTCGGTACCCCGTCGACGCTCCAGAACTCGCAACTCACGACACGTCCGTCTGTATATGCTCTGCGCTTTTGGCAACGTGGGTGACGAACAAAGGCGTGACGCGTCTCCACAAGGTCTAATCATCCGCCTGAATACTGACTCGACGGATGGTAAGCTTCGCATGTCCGTCGTCATAGACGGCATTTTATATCTCCGAAACATGCACCCCGTAGGACCGGAACTACTATGATACCCACTTATGTGCGGTCGACCGTGCTTCAACAATTACATGATGTACCAACGGCCGGCCACCTTGGCGTTGCCAAGGCGTAGGACTGCGTCCGCCGAAGCTTTTTCTGGCCCTGCCTTTATCGTTCCGTGCATCGATCGTTACGTTGCTCATTGTGAGTCTTGTCAACGACGCAGAAAAACCAGTTGCGCGCCCCGCTGGCCTCCTGCAACCTAGCGATATACCTTGCGAGCTTTTTTATCGAGTCGGCCTCGACCGTCTCGATCCCTTCCCGCTTTCGAACAACGGAAACAGATGGATCGCCGTCGCCACAGATTATTCGACCCGTTTCGCCATCACGAGATCTCTTCCGAGCAGCTGCGCCACCGACGTCGCCGATTTCTTGATACAAGACGTCACTTGACAACGCGGCGCTCTTCGTCTAACTTCGCACGCACCATGGTCGCTACTTTTTATCCAGTTCGATCCATGACCTATTTCTTTCGTGTGCAACAAAGCACAAGCTCAGCACGGCCCCTGCATCTCCAAAGAAATGCCTTCACTGAACGTTTGAATCGCACGATCACCGACATGCTCACTATGTATGTTTCGGACTGGCCATCGCGACTGGAACACTTCACTACCATTTGTTACTTTTGCGTACAACAACTCGTGCCACATTACTGCTGGATATTCCCGCTTCTACCGTCGGTATGGCAGAGAACCAACATTGCCTTATATTGTTCAGTGAACTGGGAGTGCGGGAGGAACACACACACGGAGCAAAGGGGAGGCACACAGCACCAACGCTCGTGCTGTGTGCCTCCTCTTTGCTTCATGTCTGTGTTCCTCCCGCGCTCCCAGTTCGCTGAACAATATGAATTACCACATAGCACTCCTTTCCACCCCGTTGCAACCTTGCCTCTGCACACACTCATACCCAACCATGGTAAGCTGTCGACAGCGCATGCTCGCCACGCTATTTCCACAGCCGAAAAGACCCGTCAGATTGCCCATCCACGCCTTTCCGACTCTCAGCTATATACGCCAAAAACACACATACGACAGTGATCAACAGAACGTCCGCTTTTGTCCAGGCGAATTCGTCCTCCTGTTGTCTCGGTCTCCACATGTCGGCCTGTCTGAAAAGCTCCTTCCAAAAAATTCGACCCTTATATGCATGTTTCACTGCAAATGTCATCGAACGACGATAGTCTTCCGTATGGAGAGAGTGAACAAAATATTTATTTGATGTTCTGCGCGAAAAAAAAATCGGTGAATGGTGTTCTGGAAGCGCTGCGTTAGAGAGTCTCGATCCGTGCAGCCAAGGCAAACAAGCCCATCGAGGCACATTTGACACGAGTGCCATCTGGCAGTTATCTTCGAAAACGAAAGGAAGGCGTGCGCGCCCACGGAGAAAGATGCGCAGCCTGTCTCTGGAGGCGCAAGGTGTATCAGGTGTAGAACGCAAAGCGACGGCCAGGTGCCCACACCGTGTCGTGTTAGCAAAGCGTTGGAAACGGTTGCCTTTTCGAGCATCGCGTTGCACTGTCAGCGCAGCGCGATAAACGCTACAGTCTTTGGAATTACTTATGCGTGCCTCCTGTAGTAAAGAGACACACGTAGAAAAAATCGACCGTGTTGCTATGGTGCCCCAGACATGCGCAATAATTGCTTTTTTTAATGGACAGACGCACAATTATGAACGCTTAAACTTGAGCAATATTGGTGGGAGCTGCGGATATGGTTGGCCGTTTGAGGTATTGTATGGTGCCGTTTGGGATATCCGCTACGGCGGACAAACGGACAATTGTACAGATAGACAGACAGAAAGAGACACTGAACTTTGGCGTCGAAGGTCCCGAAAAAAGACTTATCGTCTTTAATACTTTGCCCCGTACCCATTGCTACGCCACGGTTACTGACGTCACGTATTAAATAGCCCATGTAGACCCTAACGCACCTTCCACGTCTTCAAGTGTAAGTCTACGTCGCCCGCTTGAAGCGTTACCTTTTCCCAGATGCCAAGAAGAGCCGGCAGGCGTCGGCACTTTTGCCGCCGGGGGTTCATGTTGTGGTATCGCAGCTATCACCATCGTTAGGTTAGGGAAGAACAGGAAAAAGACCTATTGGTTTTTTTTTTTTCGTTGATAACGGCCTGCTGGACTATATTTCATTGGAAATAGCTTATATATTCGCAACAATATAATAGTATTTTCTGGACATTCTTAGTGAATTCCATGGCATATAACGTCACCATTTGTTCCTTACTAAATTTCTGGCGCAAATACGCTAACAAGAAAAAAAAAACCATAAAGGCGCTTGTTGTGAAGGTGAAGTTGCAATCTTGCATAAGGTATATATAAGTCAACTTGTCTGAATGACAGCTCCAACACGAACCCTCTGTTTACAAATTTTTTTCATTCTTTGTTTATGTACAATTTGTACATGCGTTAAAAAACCACAATTTCGGCGTTCCAGTGAGAGGCTTCGCGCCGGAAGGACAATTTACTCTGCTTGTTTCGCTATGCGGTACACTTGTAGCGCCGACAGTGAACGACCGGGTTAAATGGGATACCTTATACCGGAAACCGTGAACTAGGG